AGAGGGATTAAATTTCCGACAAAAATAAAAGATATGGGATGCAGCTGGACAGAGGTAGAGACTATAGTCCAGAATAGAAGTACATTGTACATGTATGTGAGAGCTCTTGTTCATGACCTGTGTATTCCAGTATGAGGCGAGAAAGGCTGATTATGATGAGAATAAAATTGCCCAGTAGCTGAGGGTTGTTCACCACAGCCCCCTTAGCTGTCCACTTTTCCTCTTCCTGTGACAAAATTCTAATTTATAATTCTATCGCCTTTAAGGGTTCTCCAAAGACAAACTCAGCCAGATGGTTTTCACACACCCTCAACATTCCTTTTCAATGCCATTTTGTCACAAAATAAAGTTAATAAGATAAGGAAAGAAAAAGCAGTTGAACACAGCATTTTGAACAGAATTACCCGCACCAACCACAGCATTTGGCAAAAAAGACTTGCATTTAGTAGGCTCTGCAGGGAAACTGTCTCACTGCAACCAGTAGTAAAGGAGGAAAATGAAGGTAAACTTGGAGCAGGAAAGAGCCTTTGTGTTTTGTGCCTTCAAAAAGGTTAAATTTTCACCTCCCACACTCCGTGGGGCAACTCTTCAATTCCATGTAAACACAGCCAGGTGACTCTGACTGACTGGAACAATTTTGGAAAGCCCGAAGGGAAGAAATTCAAAGAGTACCTGCACCACTAATGACAACACTTTGATTACAACATAAAATATGGACTGATAAACTACTATAACAGTCAACAAGTCAGTTTTAGTCAATAGCTTTAATTACAATAATGACAGTTTCAATGTAGGAAAATCAAAAACAATCCAAGAGAACGGTATAGGAAATAAATATTATATTGCCCCAAAAACAGAAAAGTAACGAGTCAAGAGAAAATTTCACTCTATGCATCTACATTCTCCAAATTATGCTGCAATATCTCTGCAGATGCCAAGTTCTAAAAATGATACTTTGTAGCTATGAAAAATGAGAAACAGAATATGTGATAAAAGAAAAACTTTATACGCAACAAATTAAAGAGAGATAAAAACTTCAGAACAAAATGACAATTCAGTCTCCTGGTTCATTATCTAACTGCTTGTCTTGTTTAAAATCTACAGTACAAACCAAGTAAGTACAGTACAGTCAGGCACAGGTAACACGAACGCGGAAAACTCGAAATCATGGATAGCTTGTAGTTTACCATTCCCTGACTGATATATACCATCATCATCATCCAGTGCCAGATCAACGACAGACATCGGCCTCCATTCATTCCTTTGCTCGAATGCTCTTAAAAAAGCTACCTTTCCCCCCTTACCCCTTTGTTTAGTCAGTTTAGGTTCCCAAAGAGGGTTGCTCTGAGCCTACCCCTGCCTCGTTTGCCTTTAATTTTGCCAGTGAGAGCTAGATGTTCAAGACCTTTATGTCTATTCAGGTATCTCAAAAACTGCATTTGTCGTTTCCTGATTGTTTTTAATAGTGAGCGTCCCACATGGGCTTCATCAAGTACTACTTCATTTTATTTCTTTTTCTTCCATGATATTCTCAGCAGTCTCCTAAAAAACGACATTTCTGTTGCTTCTATTTTATTTCACTGTCTATAGAGTAATTGTCCAGCACTCACAGCCATATAGAAGGGTTGACCATACACAGCATTTCAGAACTTTCATTTTGGTAGTCATTGAGATGTTTCTATTTTTCAGGATTGGGCTCATTTTATTGAAACTAGCCTTTGCCATTGCAATTCTCTGTTTTATTTCCATGGAACATTTGGCATCAAATGATTTCTAGATATTTAAACTGTTGGACTTGTTTGATTTTTCCCCCTTTACTAATGAGATTACAAATATGATTTGCTGGGTTTTTTTTATCTTTCCATGCATTCTGTTTTCTTTACGTTCAAACAATAATCCTTTATGTGTTCACTTTCTGTTACAACATTTGGCTTATACATATATAGAAGATATTGAAGGTCCTTTTCTGAGTCTGCTATTAAAACTGTGTCAGAAATTGATATATATATATTTTTGTCTCTTTTATATTTCGTTATAATTCGATTACCTGAATTACGCATGTGTCAACTAACACATTTGTCAATCCCCAACGTGTTTGAGTTACCTGTGCTCGACTATGTTTCTAAAATAATAGTCTATATATATATACTTTCATTGAACAAAACTGTTCAAAACTAAAAAATTTGAGGTCAAAATTCTCGCCAGGTACACACAATGCACTGATGAGTGATAATGCTTCACAGTTAAGAAAGCATTTTATTACTAATCTAACCATCGCATCTTGTGTGCTTCTCTTACAAATCTAAATCCACCATTTCATACAAAGGACAAAAAACATGCACAATTTCTCTATCATACCGTACATGATAATTCTTTTAAAAATCACAGACAAGAGCTTATCAGGGGCAAGTAGTTATATCACAAACTCTAATAAAGACATATATGGTTTACACACATCATTTCTATGACAACACTGCATTGCAGTGTTATACATTATATATATTATATGCGTGTACCACAGCCCACATTCATCAAACAGTTGACCAGTAATCTTCTTGTCAGTGAGATAAAGTAATTAAATAGTTTTCTTTTTTTAAGTCTGAGTAAAAAGAAGCACATTCAATATTGTCAGGGGGCTCCCTTGGCCTAGAGGCTAGAGGTTAAGGTGTTCGCCTCTCATTCAAAGGTCCCGGGTTCAAATCTGGGCAGAGGCGGGAAACATTTTCTTCTCTAAAAATTGTCTCCTTTCACCTCCTTTCCTGCGATCTAGCAAAGTTCTGTCATCTCCACTTTCTGCCCCCGCCCCCTCACCTCATTTGCCCTCTCCTCTGGCCTCCCGACTTTTTCTGCAGCCTTTCTTCTGCTCCTTCTTACTGTTGTCTTTCAGCTACACCCCTGATCTTCTGGTAGCGAAGATCTACAGCCAGCCTTTTCAGACAAGGACGAAAAATCTCGGAGGTCCCGTGTGCAATTTGCGCACGTTAAAGATCCCTCGGTCATTTAAAACCGATAAGAGTAGGCTTGGGCCTGAAAATGTTTAATGTGTCTCGTGCGCTATATGACCTTATGCAGTTGCGAGCGGCGTAAAAGCGGCGTAAAACGCCTACCAACCCCCCCCCCCCCCCCCCCATTCATTGTCACAATAATGGTCATTTAGTTCAGAGGAAACAGCAAAATTAAGAGACAGAAACAAAAGAGGCAAAGAAAACAAGTCGGACCTATCAGTGGTGCAGTCCAACCACCCACAAAACAAAAAAAGAACCCCCCCCCCCCCAAACAAGGCAGCTAAGAGAATAAAATACACATAAAGCATAAGGTGAAACTACACTATACAGTACTGTATCACAGTTCAGAACTATACAAGAGCTGTTCTGGGTACGTATCTTCTTCGGGATACTGGTAATTGTCTGGGTCCAACACCCCTTTCAATACTGTGCGAGGTGATCGAAGAGTTATCAACCCTTGATCAAGAACACATCACTGGGGAATCAAGTGACAGCCATTGCCCCATGAAATACCAACTGATCTAACAACTGTAGCCCTGTGAAATACCCACTGAACTAACAACTGTAGCCCTGTGAAATACCCACTGAACTAACAACCATGGCCCTGTGAACACCGTAGCCCTGTGAAATACCCACTGAGCTAACAACCATAGCCCTGTGAAATACCCACTGAGCTAACAACTGTAGCCCTGTGAAATACCCACTGAACTAACAACCGTAGCCCTGTGAAATAACCCACTGAGATAAAGGCCCCGGCCATGACCTTGTGAGATACCGACTGAGCTACCGACTAGCCCTATCGGACAGGAAAACACATTCACAGGATATATGAGCATCAGCAAATAGAAGTCTGGTCACTGGCTGAGCCAGCCTCTGACACCTTGGAACAAAAACATTGTACAGTTCTGAGAGACAAGTAAGACTGGTTTTCACTCATACCTGGAAAAGGAGAGAAATCTAAAAAGAAAAAAAAATTGTGAATATTGGAAAAGCATTCAATGTCTATACCCGTTTTTCATGCTTCAAATTAGTAAAAGTGAACCACTCATTTTTTTTAAATACTACAATAATCAAGAAATGCAGGCTGTCTTGATAAATGCAAAGTGTATCTAAATAGTTATTAATTTTGTTTTACAAATATAAGATCCCAAATTCATACCCAAAATGCACTTTTCACATACACTAAACTAAAAAATAAATTAGATTTAAAAAACAACAACACCCAAGACATCTGAACTCTATAGCAAAGTAGGAGACAGTAAGGTCCAGATCAGACTAACAAACAAATATCTAATCCTAAAACACTTTCCTGAAAGGACTCAGTATACAAAAACTGGTTTCATTAAAACAATACCTATGAACAGAAGAAAAAGTCTATGTGTTTATTCATACTCAAGAAACGAAACCCCTTCATACTTCATTTAATTTGAATTTTTTTTAAAAACATTACTTGTGTTTCGACAACTTTCCTCCACCAAAATTTTTCAAAAAAGACACACAAAGGAGTTAGTTTAGTTTTAGTCGAGGTTAAACAGCGCTCGCAACTGAATAAGGTCATATGAGCGCCAGAAAATTAGAGGTATTACAAGAGTAACAAACATAAAAAAGAACAAGGGGAGATAAGGACAATAGATGTCTGATAGGAAAGAAGGAACAAACCACACCAGAGCACCCGCCAACCACCCACACACACAAAGGAAACTTACAGAAAGACATAGACAGAAGAAATAAAGAGAGAATGAGAGGCATAATGACAGATACAGAGAGTGAGAGAGGAACAGCTGAGAGGTGACATTAAAACTTTTCTTTCCCCCGCCTGCCACCCTCCTTCATTTCAACCTAAGCTTTTGCCACAGCAACCTTCCACCCTTAGTCCAGTCTCTGTAGAAAGAAGACAAACAACTGTATCTTTGCAAAACTGGTCAAAGTCAATAAGATTATCCCGGCAGTTTCCATGACAACTTCTCTAAAGTGAAAACAATGGAGACAAGACACTTTTAAATGGAGCACTCAACGTTGTGCAGTTTTAGTAAAAAACCGCCAGGCAAAGTTCTAAAACCTGGATAGGTCCTACAGACTGATCACATCGAAAGAGACAAAAGACTCATAGGTAGAGGAAAAAAACAAAAACAAATCCAAAACTTAAGGAATCTTGAACTACAACAATCCAGCAGCACTTCACTAAAAACACACTCCTAATCTGTGGGAAAGATGACCATGACATAACCGGACGGGGGTGGATAACGGTGAAAAACACACAGGAAAACAACACAAATTACTAAGCACAAATCAGTTTAGTAGTGGCTCAAACAACTTATCCAAAAAGTTACACGCTGTAACCCAGAAAACATTATGCAGGCACAAAAATTGTATTACATAATGTTTTTAGAAAAGAAAAACATTACTGTATCTAAGGGGGAAAAAATAAAATTCCAAAAGTGTGAGGTTTATCAGCTCCACATAAGCCAGCAATTAATTTTATTGACTGCCAGTGCACTTCCAAATTAAATACAAACAACTAATAACTTACTTTTATGCTGAGACAAAGTATTCTTACTGGTTATAAATAGACATGCCTCCTCTTCAAAATAATATGATACAGTGGTCTCTACCTTAACTTACATACAAACCATTTCTAAAAAAATTTCAATAAACCCTGTTTTTATCATTTACAGAATCTTCATGGATTAATGTGCTTCAAATGTCCAGAAGCGAAGTCACATCCAAATGCACACAGAATTCTGCAAACTCTAATTCTATACAGTGGAGTCTGGTTAAACCGAAATCTGCAAGACTGCTGAATTTCTTCAGTTTATCCAGGTTTTTAGTAAAGACAGGTTGCTGAAATGGAAGAAATACAATCAGGGAATCTATTTCCTTTCAGTTTACTTTACCATTGTTTTTGGATTAAACATGGTCGGTTTAAGAAGGCTCCTCTGTATAGTAACACCCCAAATGAAACAAAGTTGGGTTACATATTATACCAGATCACCTGTGTTCTCAGACATTGGGTCTGTGACTGGACGCAAAATGTCTAAATGAGTGTCTTGAAATTATTTTTTAAAATGTTACAACTGACAGTTAAATATTTTAATCCTAGCCTTACTCAACATTCTCCAAGTTGTCTGGGGAATGGGGCTGACAGCCAGTTACTAAGACTTTCATTTTGTCCCATATGACAATGGAGAAAGGAAAAGTGTCTAAAGTACAACACAATAAAAACTAAACAGCACAAAGTACAAATGAATATTAAATATATAACAGAGAAATTAGAAATCACTGCGACCCTAAAGTTCCTCAACCAGCAAGGAAATGTATGTAGTCAATATCTGGCAGTAAACTCCAAGGGAAGCAATCATTTTTAGAAGGCAACCAAAGGAAGTAACTCTTCTTACTAATATTTGAAGTGGTTGAGTTAAAAATAAATGCTTGGAATACAAAGAGTTGAAAGAGACAATGTGCAAAAACACAATCATCAACCCTCTCAGAACAACACACTTTTGGACTGAACTTCTATCCGTAATTCAAGCCAGAGAATATTCAAAACTTTTGTTCTTCTGTTACTTATTGGTTTTCTTATTATGTAAAAACAAGCAGAGAGAGAAAAAGAAGACAGTTTGAGTAATCTAGAAAGTCAATGCTGTCGTATCCCATCGCAGACACCTGGGTATGTAGAGCTGACACCCCTCACATTTTTTCAGCACAAAAGGAATGAAATCAATTAGTTAAGAAGACACTCTCACAGCCACACTCATTTCCAATAAATAACTTTTAAAATCAAGTCAACCAATCATCCAGTTGGCTTCAGTGTAGTTCCAAACTATTCTTGAACAAGGTAGAAGAAAGATTAAAGCATATCTAGCATACATTCCAGAAACTTATTTTTTCTTACAGGCGTATCTAGCGTAAACCTACCCTAACTGAAAGAATCAAGTAGTGACAAATTCAAGAACGACACTGCAAAAACTCTGTCACTTTTCCGGTTCTCGTGGCCATGAATTTTCATCCATTTTTGCCTTGAAAGTGTCAATTTTTGATTGATGTAGTTCTATTGTCCTCTCAAGTTCTGGTCCTACAACTCCTTTATACGGAACCCCGTGCTTTGCAATCTGACGGCTAGCTAGGCACTGGAGACTGGTGAATCGGAGTGGAGGTACGATGTCGTGAATAGGGACCATATGCAGCAGTTGAGCAGCTACCTCTCCTCTGTTATTGCAAGCATCGATATGGCTACCATTTTCAATGAGAGTTTTCATCACTTGTCGATCACAGGGTACATCTTTGGCAGCTATGTGCAAGGCGGTGCAACCGTCCTGGTCCTGAGCATTTACGTCGGCTCCCACTTCTATCAAGAGATTAACAACATCCAGACTCGGAAACTTACATATGGGATACCGGCCTACGTCTGTGGTATGTCTCGTGCACGCCAGATGAAGCAGTGTGGTTTTCTTCATGCCGAGAGGACACATACGGACTAACCGATACACAACCTTGCGAAATTCTAATTTGTCTACAACAGATAAAAGAACCTCCAGTCTTGTCATGAGACACAGCAGATGCAATACTATCACCATCAATCTGTTCAGGTTGCTTAGACTTTTGGCCTCAGTGTCTGATGTCAATGGGGTTTTACTCGACTTTGTGAACGCTATAGCTCTTTGCACTTCTTCTACTGCTCTCTGTAACACAGCCATGAGGTTTTCGAATTTAAGGCAAGAGAAAAGGTCCCCCCCTCTCCATTCCGTCGTCATAAAAGAAAAGAGTTCAGCGAAAGACAAGAAGCTTGACTGGGTCATAGGGCTGACAGGTTCCAATGCACTTTGCTGCATTTCCAGTGCATACATCCATAAAGATATGCAACGGTCGAAATTTCCCATGTCAGCGTACAGTGCACCCCTGTACCGAATGTAATACGAAGTGTCTGGGTGCGCAGGCCCTAAGATTCTCTCCCTCACAAGAAGAGCTTGCATTCTCATTTCATCTGGGTCGGAGACCAGCTCGTCTAAGGTATTACACGACCGGGCCTCCACAGCATTCTCATATGCTTCTACTGGTTTCACATTCACTGGTTTCGGGTAAGTATTTCGTCCATGATCATGACGCATTATCATTGCTCTTTGCCAAACATGCAATGCTGCTAAATTATCACGTTTTCTGTCAATGTATGTTGCTCCTAAAAGCTCAAGGGACTCAATTTTTTCTATCTGCATGCACTCTGGACGCTCTATAAGGAACTCGACAATGGTGTAGTACCCAGCCACGGCAGCAGCCATTAGAGGGGTCATGTTGTAGTGATCTTTCACCATTACAGCTCCATGTTTGAGAAGCAGCTTCACAATCTCCAGGCTACCGGACTCAGCGCAGTCATGTAGGGCTGTGTTTCCTGTTCCGAGAAAAAAAAAGAACATATTCTTTTAATTCTCAGACCTGAGCTAAGCATGAATTAGACACAGAAGAGAATAGTACATTGGACATATAAACAGTTTAACTTATTTAATGACTGGTTGGGAGGAGCAAATCAAAACAATGTTAGACACAGGAAAAGAAAGAGTTGGCAGACAAAAAGAGACTTTTTACAGTAGTAGTAGTCACTACTAGAGAAACTAGAACGAAAAAACTCATCAGAGACTTTGAAATAAAATATTCTTTCGCATCATGGTTTTTCTTCGCTTATTTTCAACTCTTCTGCTAAGTGTCTCGCCTAGTGCTATCATTATAACACAAATCACGCCAATGGGTGAGCAATTATCTTGGTTGCTAGATAAACAAAAAGAGTATTTTAGTTCATGATTAATAACACACATGCAAAGCTGCAAACCTTTGGAAATTGAAAGCAAGGGAACTTTTCAACCCTAGACTCAAAGGGTGCATTGACCACACAGAATGAGGTTAAAGGTCTTTCATACTACAGTACAACACAGATAGCACGAACTCGTCACGACAGGCCTCGGTAGTTCGAGGGAATCGTAGTTCAAGGAATACGTGAGTGTTATGGCATCGGCTGTGTCAGAAAATCAAGGAAAGCAACAAAGATTTGAGTCGGAACAGATTTTCTTTTTACAACCATTGTCGTAGATTAGATCAGATAGGTCAGATCTTCTATGCCTATTGACTTGAATTTGAAATGTGAGAGAATTTGAAATTGACAGATTGAGAATGAGAAACACGATGAGCAATGCTTTTGAGTAGCGGTAATGAACCTACCGGTACCAAGACAGTTTAACTGAGTCGGTGTAAGCGGTCTTTAGTCTGCACCAATCGAACGGTGCCTTTTCAAATTTTAAAAAACATAAACAACTTGACAAGATAAGCATCGCAATAGTCATCAACAACGCGATGACGAAACAATGCAGCCCAACTCTGCCTCTCCCATTAAGCACACAGCCTTTAGAGAAAAGGAGTGGGGAGGCCAATTTCGAGCATCACAATCCTTCCTTTTGCCCACTCCACACAAGCCTAGCTAGGCCTAGGACCTTGGCACATGCAGAGGGCACGTGTGTCGAGCAGCAAACTAAAAAAAGCACAGCAAGCTGCTTCTGTGGAGGGGGGAGGTGGTATTTTACCCACCTTGCCTTTTCCCGTTTAAAAAAAAAATTATTAGGCCCATTATTATTTTGTTACAAGTTCACCTCAATGGACACTGACATTAGACCTTATACGGCGGCGTAATTAGTTCAACTCTCCCCTGTTTGTGTTCAAGCCTCGTGCAACTTTCTTGCAAAGATAAAGAAAAATAAAAAACGAGACTGCAGGCACAATTCAACGAATGCATGATTTCTTGTAATCTGTGTTCGACCTATCTGGGTTCTGTATTACTCACAGTTTAAGAACAAAAGCAAATTATAACAAAACATGAAATTGATAAATGACAGCTGACTACAGTATAACACGGAATAAATCGAACACAGAAGACTCGAAATCACGCATCGCCGCACTGTGCCTGCGGTCCCAATTTTTCTTCTTCATCTTTGTAAGATATCCCTCGAACTACCTAGGCCAGTCTAGACAAATTCAAGCTATCCGTGTCATAAACTCTTTTAGGTAGCGGAAACACAGCCTCGCAGGCACTCGCGGCCTTCCGAGCACGTGGTATCGGTGAAATCGGGGTAATTCAGATCGCTGTTTCTTTGTTCTTTCGCTATAAAAGACCAAATGCGGTACACTTTGTAAAAGTTCAGCTTTTCCTCGTTACAATGGTGTAAGTTGTTTATATACATGTCCGATTATTAGGAGCTGGAGAATCGCCAAGGAAAGCGAAGCCCCTCGCGGTCAGAATGCGTGGTCGCCCGGTTAAAAAATTGACATCATGCATGCTTTCAAATGCTTCGCGGAAAGATTGATGATTAAATGCCGTCTTTTCATTGGCGGAGAACTGTAGAACTTTAAACTGGCTTTCCCATGATATATTTTTGGCGTTTTTAAAATAAAAAGCCTTTAAAAATACCGCCTCAGTTTTCAAAGATCATTTTTTACACAAAATATGTAAAACACCGACTCAAAAGAGGTACCAATAGAAAGATCAGTTTATTTCCTATTAGAATAAAGTAATCAGCTTGGAATTATTTTGCATCGATCCTTCTGCGAAACTCCGAGCCGAATATGATCCCCAATGCAAGGTACACTACAGCATTTTTGTATTCATGAGTTCATATTTTTACCATGTATTAATATATGATAAAATCTTTAAATTATTACATAACTCCCTGAGTAACTGTAAATTAAAATCTTAACGAAAAATAAAGATTTTCAGATTAAGAACTGGCACTCCATGATGATGATGAACTGAAATCAAAAGTAAAAACACTTGAATTGTTACGTCATTGTGATGCTGCTCATTTCAATTCTCTGTCAGAACATTGGAAGTCTTCACCCAATAATTGTCAACCTGGTCACTGGTCTGTATTTCTTTAAAATTCGAAAACATAAACATGGTTTTGAGCTGAATAAAAGACAAAGGGAACTAAAGAACAATACTTTTAGATATAATATAGCCTACTCTTAATTCAGAACAATCCACAAGGGGAGCACACAGTTGAGGCATAAAATCTGTCTTTGACCTTGTTAATTAAATTAGTAGAGTTGGAAATTGTTATGACTAGATTCTTAATTGTGGAAGAAATAAATGGGTAGGGGGAGTGCAGAGAAATTCAACAGATTGGCCATGCATCCCTCCTGGAATCCTTTTGAAATTTGACACTCCTGTTATTATTGTTATAAGACCACAGGTTAAGCCTACCTTTAACACTCTTCCTGTTAACCTGGGCTTTCAAATCCAGCAAGTACTCTACTATTGGAAGATGTTTCTTGTAGCATGAGATCATCAAACAGGTATGACCATGTCTGTTTGCAATCTCTATATCAGCTTTCTGTTCAACAAGGTATTTGACTATGGTAAAGTGACCATCAAAACAAGCTGCTCTCAGAGGTGTTGAGTTTGTGTATGTTGTTTTGTTTACATTGGCACCATGTTCCACAAGGTACTTGACAATGTTCAGATGACCTGCTGCTGCAGCACACCAAAGAGGTGGGGCCCCTTCAATGGTCTCTCCGTCTATGGTCACAGAGCCTACTTGTTCGATTTCTGCTTTACAGTGTTCTACTAAGTACTTGACAACTTCTAAGTGTCCATTTCTTCCTGCCATAATAAGAGGGGTTGCTCCATTTGTTTTGGCATGAATCAGCATAGAAACATCATCTTTTGATCGCTGATCCAAAAATACTCGCAGGCGGCCTAATTTGCCGTCCCGCGCCGCGTTGTAAACAGTAATTCGGTATTCCATGAATGCTGAACAATCAGGAACCGCTCAATGAAAAACTAAATTCCACGCATTAAATGACCGAATGGCCTTGTGTTGAGAACCAACGGCATAAACAACACATCCAAAAGTACACAGTACACAACGATGGCTGACTGCAAGAAGAGGGCGCTTGATGATACGAAGGGACATCACTCTCACCATAAGAGTATCAAGATTGTTTCGAAGTAAATCTTGGGGCCTACAATAATTTCTTTTAAAACATTAAAATTCATTTTTTTTTCTCGTTAATTAAAAGAATACATGTATTACAATGTAGCTTGTCCACTATTTTGTGAGGTATTTTTTCTAAACTGGTGAATCTTTAACTTTAAGAAGAAAAAAGAGGATATCTCTGCCGGTGAAACATGGGAAAAGGATGAGAGAAGTTCATGTGGGTTTTTTTTTCTTTTCATTTAAAGTTTGCTTCACTTCGATTCTCGAAGCATCCAAGTTCTTCGTCCCTCTTTTTCAAATTAACTTAGGACCTAGGCCAAGGAGCTTAAAACAAAGTAATCTCCTTGGTCTTGGCCTAGAGATGCTTAGTTCAAATCCCAAAAGTGATCTTTACCTCGTCCTTTCTGCCTTTTTATATTGGAAGGGGGGGGGGGGTGCAGCTTTACCTTGCAAAACATAGAAACAATTTTATCAAAACTGACAAGAGAAAACTGTAGCTTTCTTTCCCTTACCACCTGTCCACAATACGTTGCCATGGTTAGGGAATAAATATGTTTTACCTGAAAACCAAGTTCAAAGTTTCATGTCCAGGCGCTCGCTGCATGTGGGCTGGCCAAGACACGGCAGCCTGGTTTAGGCAGCCCTCTTTCTAAATATTCTAGCTTTCTTTACTGTGGCCGTAGAACATTTTACAATTATAAGTCTGTTTCCTGTAGGCCTATGACGCACTACTCGCTTTCCCGTCTCTACTGACGATGCCGCGATTTTAAAAACACATGCGCTCCCAAATATAAATTAATAGGTGCGCTATATTATAGCGACAGTCGGTCCCACTTCTGTTGTTTTTGTTGTTGTTGCTGCTGCTGTTTTATATTGTTTGTTTGTTGTTGTTTTTTTCAAACCATAAATTCGAGGAGTTTTGGAAACCGTGGGTACAGTACCGAAACTATAAACTCTCACTTTGTTCAAGCGTCATATAATTATGGTAGACTCTTGACGAGAACCGACCCCCATAGTGGGCAGTGGGGGTAAAATATATAAAGAAATTTTGTCGAAATTCAAATTGTTTTGAACAATAAAGCAAGGTAAAAAAATACATTAGATCTACTACTACAATTCTTAAAAGAATGACGGTTTTTTTCCTGTTCCCTGTAAAATCTTGCCTTCTGGGCTTAGACATAGTTAACTTAGTAGCCTACATTTTAAATGCCTGCAGACGTCGACATAGCCTATTTATTTATAGGGGAGACGTAAAACACAACATGTCATTCTTTATAAATGTTGTCAACGACGAAAAGCTCGTCTTCACTCAACCCAACCATTGTGAGGCAAGATAAACACTCACTGATACATTCAATTTCATTGACTTTGAAAGACATTATAGTGTAGCGACAACAGTTAAATCAGGCGCTTGTCAGTTTTATTTTGTTTTGAATTCATTTTAGGTGGGGGGTGTCCTGTGAGGTTAATAATAATATTATAATCTTAGATTCTGTCATCCATCTTGCTTTTGATGGAGAAAAAAATTCCCATCTGTTTTGAACAGAAGTTGGGACGACTATAACTGAAAGATCCGAGGTGGTGGTCGCCTGGTGTCAGAAGTGTTTCAATCGACACGAAAATGGCCGCCAAAGTTTGGTGACTTCAAGGAGATTAAAAACTCCTTGGGTGACTTCCAAAGCTTGAGTATCCTTGGAAACTGCACATTTTAAGAAGGGATGGGGGGCGTGCCTTTGGGCAACACCTTTCAATAAAATCCACATATAATTATGTTTTTAAAAGGACATAAAGGTGCTAAGCGCCACCCCCCTCTAAAAAAGAGAAAAAGAAATAAAAAAGAAATAGCCCAACAGACAGAAAAATGCCTTCTTCTTCAATTGCATTATTTTGACGAGCGTCTGACTTCACCACGATGCGATTAATGACGGACTGCTCATAAAGCCTTAAACCTGTGTATAGTGTATGCGCATAGTTCTAGCAGTTTATGCTTTTATCGCAGATTAAATTAATTGCTATAAAACTTTGACGTTGCTGTCTCTGCTAGGCTAACTGCTATTACTGTCATTAGATCTCCTGAATAACATTGAGTTGAAAGTAAAAAGCGAGCAAGGTCCCCCGGGTCTCACAGAGTCACAGACTCTCAATCAGCCACAACATGAATTTCTTGCACAGGACGCGTCTCATCACACAGCAGACCCTTACTAAACTTACTAAGTTCGGACAGAGAAATGGACAAGTGCTTAATAAGGTGAGGTTGTTTCCAAACTCTTATTTTAAATATGTCGAAGGCTCTCAGGGCCTGGGTCAGATGACTTTGTGAATGTTTTGTTCTCTGTTATGAAACTAGATCTAGATCTAGATCTAGCCTGTATTATTTTACTTTCACATAGGCTACACGCCTTATTTATTTTAAATGTTAGGTGTCTCTGTCTAATACCGGGTGCCTATTGCAGATGGGGTCGGGTTGTGTCGATCACTGGACTCGTCGACTGAATACAAACGTGCTTGTCGTTCGTTTTTTAGGCAACGAGTCGGGCGCGACCGATTGATAATAATGCCACAATAGCTGCTTTGCACCCTCAATCTGGCTGACAAACCGACCCGACCCGACCCAATCCCCCATTGAGCACCCTGTGTAAGTAAAGTAAAAAGCTCTTTTCTTATTCATTTTTATCCGTTTTACATGGATTTTGACTTTATATATCCATTGCAAATTATTAGGTTTTGAGGTATACATACAATATAGATCTAGATCTATATATTATATTTTTGTACGAAATTTACAGTAGGCCTGACAACATGATAATATATCACCTGTTTTTAACAAACTCTTACTTTTTATATATTTAAACTCAAATAGTGATTGGTTGCTTTTCCAGATTGAACAGACACAAAACTTCTGCAGCAGTGTGCATTGTCTGAAAGACAACACGGTAAGTTTGCCAAAAAAATATAAATTTAATCATTTGCTCAATCATTGCAAAGAAAAGGTGCGAAACATCCAGCTCTGACAAACTGGCGAAAATTGAAGCCCTTTTTTAATTTGTTATTATTTTAACTTTGATCTGTTTTTATTCATGAATATCTTTATTTACAAACAGGTACGTTTTTTCACAGCTCACTGAGTGTTTACCAAGTGCAGCCTACAACTTCAGGTTTAAGTGTTTAGTTTTACAAGAGTTTTACAGTACGTGCAACACAATAAGGTCATTTAAGTGCCAAAGAGAGGTGTTACAAGAGAGTCTAACACACTAAAGAAGGAGGAGAGATAAAGACGCTAGATGTGTGAGAAAATCTGGAAAGGAGGTGCAAACCACACCAGAGTACCCGCTAACCACCAACTCCTTCAATGTTATTTGACTTTGATCCCTTTAGCGATTGAGTTAGATACCCGTGGGTGAAATGTTTGTTTATACTGAAAAAGTCCTTTAATTCTTAACGGGCGTACCTTGGGGACCATTTTCCATGTTTGTAGCCCGAGATCAAACCTAAGTACACATATAAGTTAGGCATAGTAAAATCTCTCGATAAGCAATTTTATTTTTGGCGTAGCTACAGCGGTTGTTATGGAAACAGACGCTATCTTGAAAATGAGCAATGAATTTCAATTCCCTAAGGCTTTCTTATTTACTGCCCAAATTTGACTAAATTTGGTGAGAGTATACCTGAACCAGACCCTATCAGCGTAACAGCAAGTTTTTTTTTCTATAAGTGCAAAAGAAGAAAAAAAATATGAGAATTTTCCCAAATTATAAAAAAGCTTTTCTAAATTGCCAATGGAAAAGAGTTCTATTTTTCGCAAATATCTCTCTGTTACATTGATGGCAGCCTTGTCATCTATGTTTCCTGAAAGTTTCATGTCAAAAGCATGAAAACTAAGGAATGAGTAGGGAAAAAACTGCAAAAAAATGACATTTTGCAAAAAACACTATTTTTTTGTGAAAATTCACTATATTAACCAACACTCATGTTTTCAAAGGCAATTTACGAGGAGAATAAAGACTTTCTCTATTGTCTCCATGCTATTTTTAGACAAAAAACTGGTTGATCTTCAAAAATCAGCAACATCTCAATTTGCATAGCCTGACCCAAAATCTGCAAAGTCAAGGGTCGCTCCTCCCCTTAATGTTTATCAGTATTTAGTGTTGTGACTTGGAAGTTTCCATATCAAGGTACACTTTTTGTTGTGTATTAATGTATGGGCCTATCTATATGTATTTGGTTTGTTTTGTTTGTTTTAATGAGATACACTCATTGTTAACATAGCTTTTCTGTTACTGCATTAAAATATCTGGGGGGGGGGGTATTTTTTAAAACATGTTCAACGTCACTGTTAGTTGCCTCTATTTTTCTCATTTTTTTCTTCTTCTCCCTGTTAGAGCCGGTTTGAATGTATTTTTACGTAAAACTTGAAACCTTCAACGTGCATTCTTTTTGTTCTTCTCACATGTAACATTTTGCCAGCCGTGGAACCTCGGGAAGATCAATCACATTGCCTTAGTTACTCCTGACTTAGACAAAAGTACTGCCCTATACCGCGATGTCCTTGGAGGAAAAGTCAGTGAAAAACAGGTTAGTAGATTAGTAGATTGTTACGTGATGAGTAGGCCTACCAATGATCTTGTCAAAAGGTTTGTCTGTTGCATTTTTGTCAGCTTTAGTTTTCTCTTCTTACATTGACATTTTAAAATGAAAATAAAAGTAATTTACCGTTTAAATTCATTGTATACTTTCATGTGTTTTTACCATTCCTGTACAGCCACCGAAAATTTCTCACAGGACAGTAAAGTATTATCTTATCTTATCTCTTCTCATCTCATCTCTATACACTTTAAAGTCCTTATAATATTACTCCAGCAGGCTGTAGAACACTCAGAAATATTCTCGGCTTTCCAGGACGCATATATAATATAGTGTAAGCAGCTGATTAAGCAGTGAGAAACAAACAAACTGGCTTGATCTTTTGCCGTTTATAGGCGGGTACCATCCCCAAGTGGATGAAGTGGGGCAAGTTTGTGTAAACTGCCTTTCTCAAAGATACAACACTGGGCCCCTGATGGGATTCGAACCCGCTGCCTTTCAGTTGGGAACCCAACAGCATCACTGTGATAGTTTCCTTTCTTTTTTTCTTTTTTCTTATTTTTCTTTTTTTATAACCTGTTACAGTAGGTTTGAGTGTATTCTGTCGTAAGTTTAACCAAGAAGAAATTCCATATTGTACTGGCCAAGACTTTTTCACTGATTGCATTACTGTAGGATGCAACACTCAGGATTTTAGGGTTGTGTATCTCGATCATAGACTTGAAGTATCATGTACAAGACTAGGCATTGTCATTGCTACCTCTTGGGCCTTTAGAGCAGGTTCTATTGTACTTGTATTTGTTTTTCTTTTTTTCGATTTCAGCCTTTGCCAGACCATGGTGTGACTACAGTGTTTGTTGAGCTCGGAGACACAAAAATAGAGGTGACCTACTTTTTTACTTTTTTTAAGAGTTTCTAGACATTTGCAACACAAACAATTTTAACTAGTACTGTGTACTTGGTATGAGTGCCATACCAGTGTCTGTGGTGTAGCGGATTAGGAGCTTCGCTGTTGCACACATGAGAAGTGAATTTGATTTCCGAATGGGATTTTTTTAAACGGAGTATCTCAGCCTTTCTGCTAGGATGTTTCACCCCTCTAAGCTTGGGTTGGTCCTGACCGGTAGTGTTGAAGCCTGCCTCGTAAATAATTTAAATTGTGTCTATGGAAGCAGATAAGAAAAGCACTTTAAAAAAAAAAAAAGATTTATGCCGTCTGGTTGTTGAGTATGCCAATGGTATCTTCTACTTGGATCTTATCTTTTTCTTATTTCTGAATGTAATCCACTTTAAACTGAACACAGGTCATCCAAAAACAGCAGTAAACAGGAACAAAATAAAATTTTAAGCTTGGTTTCTTCTATTTGAGCAACCTTTAAGGGGTTTCTGAAAACCGGCCGCTGGATCAGAAAAGTAAAGTATCCTGAAAACCAGGATAAACAAAAAAATCCGGTGGTTCTATAGATTTCAGTTTAGGCGGACCCCGCTGTATATACCAAATTGCTGTGTTTTAATTTTCTAATGTAGATTTTTTATGTCCTCATCGACACAAATTAGATCATGTAGGAGTTGGGCTTTCAGCCCTGCCTGTTACGGCCAATCCAGACTGAGAGGGATACAACATTCCAGAAGGAACACCAAAATACTTGATAAACATTTTCCCCTCTCAAGAATGGAACTTGGATCTCCTGTTTGCGACTGTGAAGCTATTCATTATTTCACAACAGATGCCAGTATGGCTGTGTTTTTGGCCGCGTGGTTTTGTTTTACTCAGTAGACTATCTTGAATTGTAAGCTGTAGAAAGAACAGCACTGAATAAAGTCCAGACTTTCATCAACGGATGCTTGAGGAGTATCTGCCTAAGAATTAAGTGGGAGGACAGAATTAAAAAATGAAGAGCTGTGGGAATGGACAGGACAAAAGGATATATAGAAGTAAAAATAAGACAAAGAAAGTGGCTATGGATGGGACACACCCTCAGAAAGCCCAGTGGAAACAGCACAAGACAGTCACTACAATGGAACCCACAGGAAGCTCTAGGCAGGGGCAGGCATTCGGAAACATGGAGGTGTGTGGAAAGGGACATGAGACAGATGAAGCTCACTTGGAATGAGCTTGGAAGGACGGCCTAGAAAAGAGATAAATAGATGGAGTTTGTATGTGGCCTATATATACTATACCCTGCTAGAGGTGAAAGGCATTGATGATGATGATGATGAAGCTGTAGAAACCACAATACTGCCTAGATCTATTTTTGTTCATAGAGGCATGCTATCATTATCATTTTAATTCCAGTTTACTTCTTTTTGAACAGAATAGTGTCTGTGGTGAAGCAGATAGGTGCTGTGCTGTTGTACACAGAGGACAAGAATTCGATTCCTAAGCGGAGAGAATTTTTACCCAGTTTCCCTGTCTCAGGCGTCTGTCTGCTGGATCGTTGTATCCCTCTGTTAAGGTTGACCCTGACAGGCAGGGTCGAAGCCAGCCTTTAAATGATCTAAATTGTGTCCACAGGGGTTAATAAAACTTCTTCAAAATTATTATATTTTTCTTTTTGCTTCTGGACAGCTGTTGCATCCCTTGGGTGAGAAGAGCCCGATTCAGTCTTTCCTGAAGAAAAACGCATCTGGAGGAATGCATCACATTTGCATTGAGGTAAAGTAACTTTTAGTTTACATAAATAGGTCATATATAAGTGCTGAAGGTGTTACACAAGAGAGTAACATACTAAGAAAAGAAGGAGGAAAGATAAGGACGACAGATGACTCATAGGAAAGAAGGAGCAAATCATCCAGAGCGCCTGCAAGCTAACTTTAAGTTCTACGACTCTTGTGTGTTAATTAGCTGGCAATAAATATTATCCAATTAGTAGTTTTGCTTTGTGTTTAGTAAAAACTGTAGATGTTTTATGCCGCCAGTGACATTATTTTAGTTTCAGATCATTCAGAAGGCAGGCAGTTTCTTCCTGACGTGTTGAGGCCAACCCAAGCTGAGAAGAATAAAACATCAATGACAGACGAAGATACTCGATAATAATTCTGCCCACACAGCAATCATACTCATGTCTTCTGCATGTGACAGCGAAGCACATAACTGCTACACCACATAGATGCTGGTTGTGTGGTGTTTGATTGATTGAACTTTATGTGTCATCTCAAAATGTGACTTTAGTGAGAAATTGCACATGAAGAGACTGAGAAACACTGGCTTGGGCGAAGAATGCTGGATGAATAGCATAGTGAATAGTAATATTGAAAAGTGACCTTTTGCTGATGGACTTATGTATACTATAAGAAAAAGCATCTCTGCATGTAGTATTGAAATTCAAATAGCACTGTTAATAGTGAAATATTGAAAAGCCAATATAAGTATGTGTTTTTACGCCGTTATCGACACAATTTAGGTCATGTAAGAGGCGGACTTCTGTCCCTGCCTGTCGGGACCAATGCGGGCTGAGAGGAAGACAGTATTCCAGCAGAAAAACCAAGACACTGGATAAAAATTCTTCCTACTCAGGAATTGAACTCAAGTCTCCTGCTTGTGACAGCGAAGTGCCTAACCACTTAACCACAGACACCGGTGAATAGCCAGTGTTCTTGGTGGATTTATATAATATAAGAAAAAAAACCCATCCCCATATAGTATTCAAATAGCATTGTAAATGGTGAAGTACTGAACAGCAAAGGTTGCTTATGAACTTTTATGGAAAAATCCATTTGCACACAGTAGCCTATCATATATTTCAAACAGCATAAATAGTAATAGTGACTTCACGCCTCAAAGCGTTAATGAAATTTCATTACCTCAAAATGGCACAACACTATTCTCTGTTAACTTTATTGTACAGATACAGTCGAAATTGTGTAAGACAGTCACCCATTGTTGAAGAGAAAAAAGGTTGTCTTAGACAGGTGGATGTCTAACAGTGTCAATATAATGCTAAAAAAAATGCAAGGGGGGGATATGGTAAGTGGCCATATGTACAGGTTATAGTTTTGTATAAGTTCTACAGATGGCTATTACAGCAAGTTCAACTGTAAAATTATAATATTTATTTTTGATGAATTTATTTTATCAACAGGTTGACGACATTCAGAAAGCAATGGCTGATCTGAAGTCCAAAAATATCCGGCTGCTCAGCGAGGAACCAAAGATTGGTGCTCACGGCTATCCTGTTGTATTTTTACATCCCAAGGATTGTGATGGGGTTTTGGTTGAGCTGGAGGAGGTCAAATGACCTGGGATGATAAACAGAGAGAGCTCACATCCATGTGGAAATGCAGTGTAATTTGCTACAATACAGTGTCCTCAGAATTACTGTTCATCTTAGCACTAATTTTGATACAGTGAATCTCGCTTTGAATTCCTCAGGCCTGACCCTCAAGTTTGTTATCTGAAACACAAAATTTGAGGGATCATTTTATATAAGAAAGATGTGCGACTAAAGTAAGGACCCTTGATAATGATTATGATAGGGACATCTGTTCTGAATGTAATAGGAAATGAGTGTAAAGGGAAAAAATCAATGTTGTAAGGAAATGCTTGCTTAGGAGGAGCGGCCGTTTCCCTTGATACGACTCCTGAACAACAGAATCAGGCTTTGTTCCAAGCAAGACTCATTTTTTTCTCCTTTTTATTGGTATACCAAGAGTGTCCCTGGACTAACGCTGGAACAAAATGCTCCAGTACTCTGGTATGCATAAAATGTTAGTTATGTTTCAAATGAGAGGATTGTTTTCTTTGTTGTTACACCAAATGTGCTCTAGTTTATGGGTGTCTTTGAAAAGCGAAGTGGTAATGATCAGGCAACATTTACTGGACACTGTCCCAACACATGCTGAGTAAAAATTATCGATTCATTCAAAGCTCACCTGTGTCGTACGATGTTGTGTCCTTGGGAAAGGCACTTTACACCAATTTTTGTCACTTCACCCAGGTGGTAATGGGTACCCTGCTATAGACAGCGAAAGATCTTGCCAGTTTGTGCCTAATCGGTTGCTTGCACTATGTGATTCTATGCCAGGAATGTTTTTGAATGTTCTAGGGTCTGCTGGGGCAATAATATTATAAGGAAAAACTGAAGCAACAAAAAACACTTGAACTTGAAGATACCGATAAAACACTTTTTAATTAAGTTTTAGTATGCATTTTACTGCACTTGCAACACAATAAGGTCGTATAGATTCTCAGTGCCGAAACACTTCTTAGTTCTGGTGTAGTTTTTACAACACCAACAACAAAAATTCCAGCCAAACGCTGAATCTTGCACAAAGCTAACGGCAGTGTTCAGGAGCCATGCCAAACTTTACTATTTACTTTTCCGATCCAGTGGCCATCTGGGTTCTTGCTCTTTTGCCTTTCAATATGGCAAAGAATTTACAGGTTTTTATCAGCTGTGCTTTGTCGCTAAAGTATTTCCGATATCTGGGGAGGCAGGTAGATAGGTGCTACGCAGGTTGCTAAGTGTACGACAGGTAAAGAGTGTGTTATTGTTTAATCCTGGCAAGCACTCAGGTGGGGTATCCTTGCGGATCCTATTTAGGTAGGAATTTGGTGGGATGTGTTGTGTTGGCAGGCGAAAGATTATGAATCGTTCTGAGCCATGGCAAAGAAAGCAACTACTCATATAAGGAAGCATTTTTGGACCATCGCAGCGTGGTTTAAGAGCAGTTATCCCTATTCAATATTGATCAATAATGGTCTTGTAATTCACTTTTTTTTTTTCAACAAATACTCGGATTTGACAAATTGGAAGCTCCCCCTGACATCTTCATTTTATTTGAATAAATAGAATTTTTTATCAACAGAATACACTTTATTAATCCCTGGAGGGAAATTTGGGTTACAATAGCAAATATCATACATAAATATGCATTATAATTATTAAACACACAAATATGAATACCCAGTACAAGGAAAACCAAACGCACAATATTACACCAGTGTAGGACAATTTTTTTAGACACGTTACGAGTTTCACTGTGGCATTTACGGGTTGTTTGAAATAGTTTAAGGGACAAGTAGCAGTTGCTCAATCGTGCCTGTAGTAGTTATGAAAGTGTTATTTATATAATGCTTATGTTACTGTCTTGTTTGTGTTGAAGTACTTTCCTGTCAGTTGTACAGAGTTTTTGTTGAACAGAGAATGATTTTGTAATCAGGAGAAATGAAGAAAATAAAAGGAGCACCATCGCCATCTCTTAAAGTCTTAAAGTGTGTATTATATTTTATTGATGTCATGAAGATTTACAACATGCCATATATGTTATGAAAATAAAGTGTGCATTGAATGAAACTTTTTGTGTAAAGATCATTTCCATGACGTGCTTGTAATAATTTTCCTTTTTTTTTTTTTTTTAAATAAAAGTTTTTGCCTCTAAAAACACTAAATGGGTTAAAACTGGTATGTTAACTAGAGAGTAACAAACCGCCCGCTGCAGTGCTACTGACTGAAGTGTCTTTAGGCCATTCCCAAAGGGGGGTACATTAACATGTTCTTATGCACAGTAAAATAGTAAATGGGCTGATTCATCAATATCATGCTCGTAACTGCCTGAACTGCAACAAGGAACTGCTGCTTTTTTCTTTCCTAATCCTTACTATCAGCATTTTCCTCTACTTCTTTTGTATGTTTGTCACACTCTTGTGACCTTCTATTTCCGGGGTGCCTTGTTAGTCGAAGCAGACTTTGTGCTGTTGAAGCTAGAGAGGTGAGCAGAGTAAGTCTGATTCCCTGTAAGGACTTCTCTGTTGACATCCTCCCCTTGGCGCTCATATGACCTTATGCAGTTGCGAGCGCCGTAAAAACTACTAAAACTAAAGAGAGTACTCTCTACTTTTACTTTTTCATCCTCTTTTGCCGTTAAGCGTTGAGGAGAGATGCAGTTTAGTCTTCTATGGTAGGCCAGCTCTGCAGCTCTTTCAGTTGTGATATTATGTTTTCTCAGGGTTTCCTTGACACCCTCGATCCACCTTTTGCGAGGCCTTCCTTTTCCTTTATAGCCTGAGTGCTTGGTGTTGTAGGCTCTCGTTGGCTTTTTGGGTTCACATTTTTATTTCTCTGTCTATGGACCCATTTTCAGAAAAAGTACTGCCAAGATATTTAAACTCCTTCACCTGTTTCAGTTGTTTACTATTGACATCGATGTTCAGGGAACTACGGTTTCGGCTCTCTTTCATAACTTCTGTTTCTGATGTGCTTATTTTCATGTTGAATTTCTCACAGGTGTTGTTGAGTTCGGTAGTGTGATTTTGGAGGCTTTGTTGGTCATGATGAAAAAGAAATTGGTCGTCTGCGGACAGAAATTCATTTAGGCTTTCTAGGCTTTGGTTTGCGTCTTGCGTTATTGTGTCCATATAGGCCCTGTCTGTCTTTCTGCTGCAGGGTTGAAGCCTGCTTCCTAAATTATCTACAATGTGTCAGTGGAGAAAAAGAAAAATCTGCATTTCATTTAAAGAAAAACTGTTATAATGGCCAGACTGTTCTGATATTATATTTATACACTGGAGTCCACATCAACCGAAATCTGCGGGACTGTTGGATTTTCTATGGTTTAGCTGGGTTGTCAGATTTGAGAGGTTTATCAAATTGAAGAAAAAAAATCATGGCTTTCATTTTCTTCCAGTTCACACCTCTTTTCAGATTAACCGTGTTCTGCTTGAGTAACAGCCTACAATGAATTACATGTACTGGTATACCACTTTCTTACGGCTACTCAAATAAAAGAACTGAGGTAACAATTATAATTTTGACTTTTATTATTAACTATTTTTCAATTTCCGCACGCATCCCTCAAACCAATTATTACCACTATAAAACAACATTCCAAATACAGTCTAGCACGCCCATGGGGAACATGCATCAAACCATGCTCAAAGTGAACATACACATGAGAGAAACGAGCTCATAGCGAACAAAAACATTAAGAGAATCACGCTCATACTACTCACAGTGAACAGATTTTCAGGTCATGAATGTATTCCTATATAGATACATGTGTTTCAACTTCGCTATGATGAGCATGCTAGACTGTATCAATTAAAAGACGTTAAGTTTGGAAACACTACCAACAAAATCGGAGCCACTCATTATTTTCTCATCAAATACTTGGGGAGACGACAGAAACACACAGATGGAATCAGATAACCGGTAATAAAACTACATTTTGAAATAAAAGATAATTTCCTTTACACTTATCAGTAACTTAGGGCATACATTTTTGTAGGCGGTTGCCAAAGTTGATAAAAATACAAGGTAAAGAGACGCTGTCCTTTAAAATACTAATAATTCATGGGTTTATTTAAAAATATAAGGTTGCCGACTGATTTGGACATAATGATATAGTCAGCCAGCTGATCAGATGCACTAAGCCCAAAATTTAAAATGTTTTTTTATTCCACTTTTTCAATCCCTGGAAGAGTATTTTAGAAGCTTGCATATGCTCAAGATATAGCTCTTAAAATTCAATTTTGAGAGTTGAAAAAAGCAAGAAGAGATACGTAATTTATGTGCAATTGTTCTTAAAAAATGAAAGTTGTTTTTTTCTCTCCTGAAAAATTTTGCTCTCTGGGCTTAGAACATTTAAACAGCTTGCCAACTATACGTATATATAAAATTATACAGGAACACACAAAACATACAGGCACACATATGCTCAAACACTTGTATCATTAGCTCATTTATATTTTTCATTTCTACAGTGTATAGAATGCTACCCCTGCCACCATTCTATCTCCTTACACCATGTGAGGACAGTAACATAAAACATGTCAGAAAGCAACATTCAGTCTCGCATGCTCTTTATAAAACACGGGAATAGCAAACAGATTTTCTGGTCCTGAATTGTTCCTGATACATCATGTGTACCAGTATATCATTAAGAATTTTTAATCATGAATATCGAAATTCGTACATAACGAAATGATTTTTTGCATCCCACTGATTTCACTATGTGCGAGCTAGACTGAACCTTGCTTACAAAGTGTGACAAATTTATAATAACACACCTCAGATCCTGTGGATGCGCACAGGGATTCATATTTTACAAATTACATTGTCTCATGTATCTTGCGTCAAGACATAGCAACAATTGATCTTAAGTTGGGCAAAACGCAGACAAATTCAGAAAAAAAAGGCACCTCTGCTGGAAACATCACACACCAGCTGTTCACTTTCAAAATGCGGGTAAATATGATGGCAGTGAGGCAGCTGCAAAATGTAACTTTGATCCACCAGTCATGCATTGCTTAAAATTCAATAAATATGGTTCCATTACTACAGTGGAGTCCGCTTTAACCGAAGTCTGCGGGATCGCCTGCTTTCCTTTTGTTAAGCTGGGTTTTTCGGCTTAGGTTGCACAAACAGTAGAGGGAAAAAAATGGGGGGGGGGGTATTTTCTTTGGTCTACTGCCTTTTTCGGTATAATTGTATTCGGTGTAAGCGGACACCACTATATTTGCATCACAGCTTGAGTCACCAATATTCAAAGCCTCGTGATATAACATGACAACAGAAAAAGCAGTCCACAGAATATTCCATAAGTGCAAGACTACCATGCTTTAAAACTATCATTCCCTATCCTGCATGCTTTTTAATGGTATGATAGCTGCCAATTGTTCAAAAGTAAAAAAAAAAAAAACAGACTTTACCCACCCGACAAGTCACCCTCCTACAGACCCTTCACAAAAACTTTTCTGCATTCAATAAATTCAAGCTATTCAAATTAGACCTGCAGGAACAGATCTCTCCAATTAATGACTAGGTTTTGTTCTCATTATTATTTAAAAGTCAGACTTGAAAATTAATAATTTTCTATTTTGGCAATGGCAGGTCAGTGGTGAGCAATACTAAGAAGCAATACTTATTTTCCAACATGAAAACCGACTTCAATACTCAGACGCTTTTTTACGTAGGCCGTATTGGTTGGAAGCTATGCGGCATTTATTAAAAATTCAGTATGACATCTCCAATTGTCAGAAAATACTGAAACTTTGAAAATATTTAAAAAACAGGACTACAATATATATAGTACAATAAGCATTATGAAAATACAAAGAACACATCACCATCTTCATTTATATGACCAGAATGTTCAAAGTAAGAAAAAAAATGCACTAAATTGAAAAAAATCAATGTGTGCTTCTGACTTACATTTCAGAATCAGTCAAAAGTTAAATGACAGCAAACTATCCTTATCTTATTATTATGGCAGAGGGTTTTACGGCGCTCGCAACTGCATAAGGTTATATGAGCGCCAAGGGGTGGGTGTCAACAGAAAAGTCTTTACAGGGAATCAGACTTACTCTGCTCACTTCTCTAGCTTTAACAGCACAAGGTCTGCTTCAACTATCAAGGCACCCCGGAAATAGCAGGTCACAAGAGAGTGACACACATACAAAAGAAGTAGAGGAAAATGACAATAGTAAGGATTAGGAAAGAAAAAGCAGCAGTTCCCTGTTGTAGATCAGGCACAGTTATGAGCGTGACATGAATCAGCCCATTTACAATTCTACTGTGCTTGAACAAGAAATGTCCCCCTTTGGGAATGGCTTAAAGACATTACAGTCAGTGGCACTGCCGCGGGGGGAAGTAAAACTACCCTAGAAAAATCTGACAGGGATATAAAACAAGAACATGTCGGGTTTCAACAACAGTGACAGTTCTGCGATTCACAGGAAGTCTGCCAAAAGTCTTACCACTGCCTCTTAGTGCAGCCTGATTTGAGGAAATAAAACTTCACCCATGCTGCTTTGAAGCACGAGGTCACTATTTATTCTATTCAATTTCTAGGTTGCAAATGTTTTCTCTCAAACAATCACAACTGTCTTGTCTAAGACGGCCACCCATTGTCGAGAAGAAAGTGCCAGTCTTTGACAGTATCATTATAAATAATGTTATCAAATTCAAATGGCATCGCATGCCTAAGAGACTAGGCCCTCTCCAATCAAACTCAAATGGCACTGTATGCCAAAAAAGACTATTCAATCAAACTCAAATGGCATTGCAACAGAGACCAACTATCATTTACTATTTTAGAGTGCCAAGACCTCAAGAGAGGAAGCAGCACTTGCAGACGAGGTTACAGCATTGTGATGTCTCACACATGTCTCTCACTCACACAAACATGAATGCACGAACGAATGCATGTACGCATGCACATCCACTCCTCTTATCCATCACCATTTCAACTATGCACTGTGAAAGCTTATTGTACGCTGATCAGCTTTACAAGTAGTATTCTTATGCGAAGTCTCATCCGTGTCAAAACTTTGCTGCAAAAGATTTGACGGTACACATAAAGTTAAAAAAAAAAAAAATCCAGCTGTTGCATACTTTCAGCAGGGGGTTGAAAAGGACTTCAAATCAAGCGCAACATTTAAGTTGAGCTTAACACAACCATTTGACCAGCATCTGTGGTGTAGAGATTATGCGCTTTGCCGTTACACACAGGAAACCACAAGTTCAGTTACAGGGAGTAGAGAATTTTTACGGAGTGCCTCGGTCATTCTCCTGGGATGTCGTGTACCCGTCTCAACCCGCTCTTGGAAGATCTTAACTGTGTCGATGGGGCGTGTAAAACACCTACATTTCATTTTTTTTAAACAAACAAAACAAAGAAAGAAAAGAAAAGATCAACTCAAGAGACTTCACCACAAGTGGAGTTGACGACATTAAGTTGTATGGAGTTATCCTACCAAATTTTCTTTGAAGCCCTATTCTTGCATTGCGTAATTTATACTAAGGAAAATTCGTTCATGTACTACAGATGCCTGCTAAAACAACCTATATGCGTATACCGGTACCAATATTTCACAAGTTTAGTATTCCCTGCGACCAAACTGCCCGTACTTCTGATCACCTCTCGACGAGTCCCCACCAACTGTCCACCCAGCTGCTTCATATCTTGACCTGTCACCATTACCGCGCCGATCATCATCATACCGTCTTTGTCTGCCAGCTGCGTTTCCACCGCCCCACTGGTCTCTATATCCCACTCTGTATGGAGCTCTGTTTCTGTCCCTGCCTCCCTCTCTGTACTTTTCGTACGTTTCTCCATCCCATCGGCTTGGCTCCGGAGAAAAGTGACTTCCCCAGCCATTATTCCTCCCTGCACCAGAAAGGTTCCCCTCTCTATACCCAGGCATCCCTCCCTCCCAGTCTCCTCTACTAGAAGCATGACCGCCCCACGGACCATGATTAACCCCCCAACCAGCTCGTTGGTATCTCTCTCGACTGTGATCAATGTGTCCTGGATTTGCTCCTGAAACCTGGCCAGTGCTGTTATACTCCGAGTCTTGATAGCCCGGATTTGCCATCTGTTTATGAAAACTCTCTGACTGGAAGTGGTCCCCCATTCCTCTGTTTCTGCTATAGTGTCGAGGAAAGTTTGTCCCATAAGGTTCTGACGAGTATGAATGCTGGCGATGCGCATGGTTCTTTTTCCTCCTCCATCCAGGATGGTCGTCACGGTGATGTCGCCAGCGATCTTTCCCCGGGCTTCTGCTTCCTTGTTGGTCTAGTGGTCTTATTTCAACTGACGACTGACCTCTGAAAAACACAAGCAGCACACAATAAATTGTCACTTTAGCTTACAGGCCCTGGATATTATCCAAGCTAGATACTGTACACTGTGCTTTCTAGGAATGCTTTTATTTCACGTTTTACTCATTTATTTTTTCATGAACATTTTGAATTCACAATTTGAGTAGACCAGTTTGCTGTCTGAAGTACTACTTGATACACTCAGTATAAAGTCATCTAATTCCTGAGTTCAGCTACTCAGTGCTGTGCAATGCAAAAACCAAAAAAATGGGAGCAAGCTTTGTACACATGGATAATATTAATACTGTGTCTTTTTTCCTTTCTTTAGCTTTAGTAAGAGTTTTACAGCACTTGCAACACAATAAGGTCATATAAGTGCAGAAGATTAGAAGTGTTACAAGAGAGTAACAAACATAAAAAAGAAGGAGGAAAGATAAGGATGATAAATGTTTTATAGGAAAGAAGGAGCAAACCACACCAGAGCATCCACCAACCACCCAGTCTTTTTCCATGGTAGATAGAAGATGAATATAAGAAACAAATATACAGACATTAAAGACAAAATACAGTTGTAGGAACACTCAAATAGCTTAATATAGCAAAGCCAATCTTGCTTCCGCGGGCGGCGAAATTTTGGTCCCCGTTTGCAGGTAAATTTTTTTACCTGGTCGGAACTTAAGTGAAAAACTTTCTCAAACTTGTCCTGCTCTATTTCTGGACCAATGTGAATGAAACTTGGCATCCAATAAAAAAAATACGGCAAACTAATGATATGTGGATGTTGAAGTTTGTACACATAAATTAACCTTATTTTTGGTGTCGGAAACACTTTCGTATCGGGTGTTCCTTAAACTAGGAGGAGCTTGATTTTCAACATTGAGAAGGTAATAGATCTATCTTTCCTCTATAGTGTCCCCAAATTTTAACGTTCTGTGTCAAGTAGATGTTTCGACTTAATTAAAAATGTACCACTACCCCCCTGTCCAAAGCAGCTTCGCACAGAGACCAGCCATTTTCCCCTGCTACCTCGGCAAATGTATGTGACCTAAAAATCCCTGCATGATGATTCCGAGTAAATTAATTGGTCACTTGAAATAGGGCAATGGCGAACGCATGCATCCAGTTGTTTTTCTCTCTGTTTCCCTGTAACATCGCAATGGGGGTATTCGGAGACAAGCTTATCTCGCAACGGAGTGTTCGCGTCTCAAAGGGAAAAAAAGGTGCTTAGTTGTACGGCATGTTAGATTGAACTGAATTATCTTTTATGGTTGGCATGGTCTAAAGTCATCAAAGAAAGCTTTGTCGTTATTCAGTCACGCTGTCAACATATTCTTAAAGATCCCATGATGTGATATGATGCTATAAATAGAATGCTCCAATCCCGCCACCCCTTTTTCTCAAAATCGCAATATATACACCAAAGTTTTAATTATAACAATATAACTGCGAAATTGTTAGTACATTCTGACTGCAGAAATGATTTCTCCACTGAAAAACACATTGGCTAGCCAAGTTTCTTTCTAACGCTCCAATTACTGAGATGTCATCGATTTTTTAACAGAGTCTGCTGTTACATTGTCCACTTTTTAAGAGTATTTTCCTATAATTAATTATGTGGTCATCCATATTTTGCCGACCTTTACAACCCCATAACTTTTTTAAAATTTATGAACCGATTCTTGAAATTCAAAAAGCATAATTCTTAGAACTGAAAACCCTTTCTTCGGTACCAAATAAAAATGGGCTTAAGCGAAAAATCAATTTTTCATTGGCATTGCTACCTAATACTTTAATATTTCACAAATGACTTGAGTCTGAGGATTTTTTAAAAAATCAAGAAATAACAAAGTCCCAAATTCATGTAGCATAAACACTCCCCACCCCCCCTTTCCAAAACAAATGGTATACAATAGTCAAGAATCTGCCATAAAATATATGCAGTTATTGAAAAATACTGTATTAGTTACACTGACAGTATCTATGTAATTTGTAATTTTCTGTGTTTTGAGATTCTACAATAGTACTGCAGGGCCAAAAAGAAAACACAATTTAGGTAAAGACATGTCCAATGAAACGAGTGGCCTTACTCTTACTTCTTTCTTTGAGACAAATCTGCCAGATAGTTCTCCCTCTCAATGCCATGACCGCGGGCTTCATTGAACACTGAAAGAAATGTCATCAAACAAGTTTTAGTTTCAGTAAGAGTTTTACGGCACTTGCAAACACAAATTATAGTTCAAATAAATGCCAAAGATTAGAAGACTTACAAGAGAGTAGCATACAAAGATGAGAAGGAGAGGAGATATGGACAATACATATTTGATAAGAAAGAAGGAGCAAACCACACCACAGTACCCACGAACCACCCAATCATTTTTAAAAATCCATCTGAACATAAGGACAGAAGTAGAAATATGGAAAATCGCATCATGTACTTGACTGTCATTACTTTCATAGATTCTCATCATTATCATCTAATCTACTTAACCATCATCATCACCATCAAATTTATCATATATTCCTAGACACATCACTACCTTAGAATTACAAAATTCCACTTGACATTTTTGGCCGTTTTGAGCTTCTAAGACCATGCGGTCAGAAACCAAATGTTCTATCTGCTCTATCAAAATCCTTAGAATTAGATTATTCGAAGTCATTATCAAGATACTCAAAGAAGTGCATTTGAAAAGGCTTATTGTGAAACTCAACATTTTTAATGTCAAGTTTCTCATAACTCGGCACTGAGCAGACAGAACTTTGTGACTCTTGGGCAGCAACACACTGCTGCCTTTCTTTAGGAACGGCAATCACAGCAGCATCAGCAGCAACTTTCCGGAGATTTTCCACCATGACAATGTCTCTAACAACCGTAGGTCAAATTAACTGACATCAGGCACACATTAAAATACACCACAGGACAAAAAAAATAAAAATCATGTACCGTACCGGAAAGTGAAAGTTAGATCAGTATATCGCCTGCAAGCTGTTCAACAGTTCTTAGAACAGAAAGAAAAATTTCACAGGAGAAAGAAATAACTTTTCAATTCTTTTAAAAATTGTACTTTTTTACATTTGATATTTTTTCTTGATTTTTCAACATTTTAAATTTGAATTTCAACAAAATATTTCTTGAACAACCAATACTACAAATTACGAACACGCAATTTTTTAAATCAAATTCAAACTTCTGGGCTTTGTAGACGTATCTGAACAGCTGGCGACATGGAAATACATCTTGTGAGAGTAAGAGTAAGTTAGCTCAGCATATTCTCAGGCAGCTTACTAACATTCTTTGGTAAACCCTGTGCAAGACCGGTCATTTTTTTTTAAAATGCAGGTGTCTGTTATGCTCCCATCAACATAATCTAGGTAATTTTGTAGGTGGACTCCGATCCTGCCTGTCAGGGCCAACCTGGTCTAAAAGGGATACAAGGTCCCAGTGGAAAAGCCGAGATCCTCAATAAAAAATCTCTCTACTCAGGAATGAAACTCGAGTCTCCAGCATGCGATGGCGAAGCACCCAACCAGACAATAACAGAACAGAGACAAAAATAAAAGGAAGACAAAAAAGGAAACAGTTTTAGTTTATTCTTAGTAAGTGAGTTCTGCGGCACTCGCAACAAAGTGAAGTCATGTCAAACATTAGAGGTCATGTCAAACATTAGAGGTCATGTCAAACATTAGAGGTCATGTCAAACATTAGAGGTGTTACAACAGAGTAACCTACAAACAAAATAAGGAGGAGAGATTTTAAAAAGAAAAATGTTTGATAAGAAAGAAGGAGTAAATGGAACAGAAATCAGCAGCCATAACTTGCGAAGTAGTCCAATTGTCCAAAACAGCCAACTATTGGCGCGGAGAAAAAAAAAGTGTCTAAGACAGATGGACGTCTTGGAAAGTGTAATTATTATAATGTTTAAAAAATAAACCTACAGTTAATTTTTTAAAAACGAAAACATCAACTACAAAAAACAATAACAAAACCACCTACTTGCTATGGCCTCCTCCGGTTCAAAATCCATTTCTTCTATCAAATACCTGAAAAGAAAACAAATTGTTTCACCATAGAGATCTTACCCCAAAAAACTGTATGACAATGTTGCTCTCAGAAAAAGAAAATGACAGCCAACAAAAATAATTTATAATTTTCATGTAGGCTTTTGCAAGCCCCCATCAACAGGATTTAGATCAATTAGGAGGCGGGCTTCTGACCCTGTCTGTTAGGGTCAAGCTGGACCAAAAGGGATACAACATTCCACCAGAAAGACCCGAGGTACTCAATAGAAATTTTTCCCCTCTCGAGAATTGGACTCTGGTCTCCTGTGTGCACCAGCGAAGTGCCTAAACACTACACCACAGATGCCAGTAAAAGGAAATAAAACAGAGAAATTGGACCAAAGTTGGACAAAGAAAGGTTGGATAACAAAGGTGGAAACATATCGTTGGCCAGCTGTTCAGATGTACTTAGCCCAAAATTGCCAACAAAATATTTATTGCAATTTCTTAATGATCTATGGTATGAGTTGCATACACCCGTGAAATATATAATACAGTGTACTTGATCAAATTTCAAATTCTGAAAGTAGAAAAAAAAAGCGAAGAAAAGAACGTAAGTATAATTTGTAAAAGAAGTAAAATAGTTTTCTTTCTCTCCTGAAAATTTTGCTTTCTGGGCTTACAACATTTTTACAGCTTGCCAACGATAAATTTTTCAGGGCCAACACCTCCCAGCAAATTAAAAGATCTCCACGTGCCGTCTATTTCGCTATACTAAGTGCGTGCTAGTCTGCATATGTGAAGCGAGCTGACAAAATGAGTTGCTTCTCACATTTTTAGCCATTTGGAAATCTGTCCCCATCATTTTATGCAAGAAAAATTCTGAAATCATGCAAACTGAGCCTAAAAATGTGAAATTCTGTTAGTTTTAACAAAGAATGATAAAGGAACATAATCGGAAAAATTATGAAAAAATTTATCAAATTTGGCTAAATTATGCAGGGTGCATAAAACCACGCGAACAGGGAAATAGATACATCACACTTACAGGTGAAGTTTTTACATTTTATAAGAATAAAATAAGGCATGTTATAGTTAAATTTTATCAGCACATTTCACATGTGTTCAGTGATCTTTCTTCTTTCAATGTATTTTACATGTGTATTCTTTTTTCTTAACAGTGGGAAATACATTCTATGAAATCTGTGCTTTCCTTGTCAAGCATTTGAAGAGTGGCTCCTTTTCTGCCAGCTCCCGTTCTACAACACTTTGATGAACATGTATACAGTATATTCAGTTTAACTGAAAGAATATGAAAGAATTTAGAGTTACCATTTTCCCCCCTCTTTATTCTAAACATTTCAACTTCCATTAACATAAAAAAAATTTCTGCACATCTGCTTAACATAGAATGAATTTGGTTATTTTCATTGGCACTCTGCTTAACACTAAATCTGCTTAAGAAACAACTTCCCTAGCCCTGTAAAGTTTATAGTTCATGTTATCCAGGTTTTACTGTGGAACTAAGACTATCGGTACTATGAGAATGTGAAGATATGCCGTTTCAATCAATCAAAAATATTCAGACGGCCTACCATAAGGTGACAAAAATACAAATTTGTCCCTTTGCGCTTGTTTCGTTTGAGTAAAGAGAAGCACATCGACACATTAATGGTCATATTGTGCTGGGACAAAGTAAGACAGACAGACAGAAACAACAGAGGAAAAGTGAAGAAGTAGCACCTACCAGTGGCACCCTCCAACCACCCACTAATTTTGCGTAACTGACGGACACAGTTTCAATTTTACCATACATGGACTTTCTTGTGAATGAAAGACAGCACAACACTTACCTGCATATAAGGTATCCAGTTCTGTTTACGCCATGAGTGCAATGAACGCCAATAACATGGTCTAGTAAAATTCAAATGAACAAAAAAATAGAGAAAGATAAGAATTTTCCACGAAGCATAATGTATGGCAGGGCAAAATAGCACACAGAGAAATAAAAGAGAACCTCCTCCATCATTCTTTGAATACGTAAAATTGGGACAGCGGCCTACAACTACATGAAATAATAGCCAACATACGTTAGGTTAAAGCAGAGACACGGAGGGGGGGGGCTCTCGTGGACTAGAGGTTACGGTGTTCGCCTCTCATTCGATAGGTCCCGGATAGGAAACCTGACAGTTACGGAAAATGTTCTCTAAAATTTCCTCCTTTCCTGTTTTCTAACAATGTTCTGTCGCCTGCTTTCGTTTCCACTTTCTGCCCCCACCCCCTCACCCACTTTGCCTCCTCCTCTGGGCTTCTGACTCTTTCAACAACTTTTCTACTGCTACTCCTTGGCTCCTTCTGACTGCTGTCTATCATTCACACTCCTGATCTTATGGTAGGTAAGGTCTGACACCTAGCCTTCTCAGATAAGGGCAAGAAAATTTTAAGGTTTTCTGTGCAAGTTGCACAGTTCAAAGATCCCTTGGGGGTCCAAAATCGAAAGGACAAGGCTTCAGCCACCAACCGGGCAAAATTCAAAATTTCCTACCAACTGAAAATGTTAATGTGTCCTGCGCGCGCATATGTCAGAGCGCACACCAACCACTCAAAATCCCATCTGGAATTTTACAGTAATGATAAAGAATAGAGAAACAGATAGCACAAAGTTTTAAAATGACAAAAAAATAAAAAGCCCCAAAACGTGTGCAAGAAATGCAAAGTTTTTAAACATTTACACTTCCTGAAAATCAAATGAAACAAAAGATGTAAAAAGAAGTAGCAAATTTGAGGGATGGAATAGACCACATAAACAGTCACTCATGCCTACCTTCTTTATCAAATCCTTTCACAGCTTCAGCAAACCTTACAAATTTAAAAAAAAAAAAAAAACAGAGAAAAAAAACAACAAATAAATAACAATGAATGACAATTTGACACTTCTGCCTCCTGTGAAAAAGATCAGAAAAAATCAACACTGCTACAGCAAAACACAGAATCACAAACTGACTTAGGTACTCTTACATCACCACTATGTAAAACGTTTTAATTTTAAAACATCATTATAAAAATGAGTAAAATAATGACCAAAGTCCACAAGATACTGAACACTGAACTTTTGTTCTGCCAGTACTGAAACACATGAAAATTCCATGAACTTACTCATAAACCCTGATATACCTAGCCCCTTTTTTTAATCATCATTTTGATTCTTTCTTTTTTTTTTAAATAGGGTTTTTTATGCAAACCCCCCCCCCCCCCCCCGAAACAATTTCAATCGTATAGGAGACAGGCTTTCAATTCTGTCTGTCAGGGCCACCTGGGCTGAGAGGGATACATCATCCCAGAAAAAAGACCGAGATACTCCATAAGAAATGTCCTCCCCCCACTCCCACCCCGGTCGGGAATCAAACTCGGGTCTCCAGCATGCCTAACCGCTACACCACAGACATCAGTATAGAGCACTCATAACCTTACAAGTTTTGTAAATCCCAAATTCAACTTTCCATGAAGAGGTTGCTCAGCTAGACAGTGGAGTCAAGTAAGTCTAAATCAGTGGCGGTCTGCTAGATTTTCATAGGTTTGGTCATGTTTTTGGTTTAGAAAGGCTGCTCAAATAGTGATTATAGGCGACAGCGTCAAATTGGGAATTCCATGCTTGTGACAAATTTCCCTTTTGGAAAGTTTTTTTCTTATTTCCACATCTTTCAGAAACTGCAATTCAAGCTTTAGGCTGTGTGCATTGTGCTGTTTCTTCGACATTGTCAGCTTTCTTAATCAGCTGAACTGTCGCACAGAACAGGCAAAAGACTAAATAAAGAATTGAGATAGAAAGCTCAATGCCGATAGATTGCTGAAACACACCACGTACCAGCACATGCCGATGTGTTGGGCCCACGACTATGTGAACACGGGAAAACAGGCTATGACCACTGACGGTCATGCAACAGACATACATATCCATTATAATTCTTGCATCACTATACAGCGTGTAAGCCTACAGAAGTGTGCGACAAATGTCGGCAAACAGTTCTTTGGCAATGCCTCTCTGGCTCGCAACTGACACACATGTTTTCTCTTATCTCTTTCTTCTGCTTTGTTGTCTTTGGACATTGGAAATGACTTAAATGAAATAGGCCGTTCACTTCTAAAAAAGGAAGAACAGACAGACACGGATATATTACAAAGACCCTTTCAGCTGGCGTATTTGCATTGTTTACAACTATATGCAGTTGAACCTGCTCTAAGGGCAGGGTCACCTGTCCAAGACAATCACTGTTTATTTTTTAAATAATAATTATAATGACACTTTCCTAGATGTCCACTGTCAAAGACAATCATTTATCTCTTCGACAATGAGTGACTGTCTAGCACAGTTCCGGCTAAATATTTTGCTCTACTGAGTTCATAAAATTTGCAATAGATTTGACAACAGGATATCTAATAGCCTCTCAATCTTTCTGTTCATTCACAGTAACCATCAAACAAATACAGTGAAAATTGTCTCAGGTGCCCACCCATTGTCAAGACAAAGAGTGGCAGTCTTAGGCAGGTAGATGCCTTTAAACAGAGTCATTATAATGTTTTTAAAAATCACATGGGGGGGGGGGTGCAGGGAGAAGGGGGAGAAGACTGGGAAATGGGTATTTGTGCAGGTGATTGTCTTATACAGGTGGCCAAAAGAGAAGGACTGACTGTACATCTAATTGTATAAAAAATCATCATACTCTTGAAAGTTTGAATCATCAGGCACCTGATGTCCTTTCACAAAGATCTTCCTATGTAGAACCGACTGCTTTTCAAAGTCCTGAAAGAAAAAGAAAAAAATTCTTCCTAAAATTTTCTAAGTTGGAATTTTGATGCACCAGACAAAAAAAAGGAGACCCCTGAAGTTATCTCATAATAATAATAATAATAATGAAGATCATTTCTATAGCGCCCATTCCCGTGCAAACACAGCTCTAGGCGCTTTACATAAATGCATGTAAGAAAAATATTCATGCACGCGACACACACACACACTCACACACACACACACTCATATACACACAAACACACACATATATACATACACACACACACAAACACACGCATACACACTCACGAACACATAACACGCACACATGTATGCCAAACACACACACACTCACACACACACACACACACACACACACACACACACACGTATACACACACACACACACACACACACACACATCTACTTGCTTATCACACGCACACGATTACACATCGTCACGAAATGAGAATAAAATAATATATACACTGCAATTTACAAAATACATAAATGGATACATAGACATTTACATAACATTGTATTGAACATGAATCTACTGACTTAAAAAGGATGTCATTAAATGTGTCTTTAAAGATTTTTTAAATTTAGACTCAGATGTTGTATGTCTCAAGGGTTGGGGAAGAGAGTTCCAAACTGACCACACCTTCCCTTAGCCACCACCAACCCCCTTCCCCTAGCCACCACCAACCCTCTCCCCCATTCCCTGACTTATCTCAATAATCTCATAGTACCTACTACATAAGACCTACCATCACCATCTCCCACCACACCCCCCCAACAATCCCCCCCCCCCCCCACCTTCCACATACAAAACCCCCAAATACCCATCTCTCTACTTTACACAATCTACTCAAGTTGGTCTACATTAACCACCTCCACTAAAACAGAAGCCACCACAAATCGCTGGCCAGCTGTTCAGAGACCTACTAAGACCAACATTTTGAAGGAAAAAAAATCTTTATAGCCATTTCTCAATCTGTGTTGTCACCTTCATGTGCTCAAGAAATATTTTGTCCAAATTCAAATCATCAATATGTTGAAGAAAGCATGACAGAATACATGATTCCGATACAACTGTTAAATAAATTAAACAGGTTTTTTCTCCCTCCTGAAGCCTATTTTGGGCAGCGCACATTCGCACAGCTCGCTGATCAAATTTTGATACAAAACGTTTTCCTTATCTACACCTGAATAGCCAATCTCTGTGCCATAAAAGACTCATTTTCTCTGTGTGTTTGAGGAACACTGAAGTGAAAGTGGAAGACAGAAAAAAAATCGAGGATAGAAGAATTAAAGACAAAGATGGATGAGAGGAGGACAAAAAACAAAGGTGGATGGGAGAAGAAAGAAAGAGGCTATATCAAGGACAAGGGAAAAAGAGAATTTAGTTTCAGTTTTAATAGAGGTTTTACGGCGCTCACAACTGCATAAGGTCATATGAGCACAAAGGGGTGGATGTCAACAGAGAAGTCCTTACAGGGAACCAGGCTTACTCTGCTCACCTCTCTAACTTCAACAGCACAAAGTCTGCATCGACTATCAAGGCACCCCGGAAATAGTGGGTCACAAGAGTGTGACAAACATACAAAAGAAGTAGAGGAAAATGACGATAGTAAGGATTAAGTTAACCCTTCCAGCCCCAGCCATTTTTGTGCACTCCCTAACCCCAGTCCCAGCCAATACAGCAGTATTTAAGAAAAAGAGGCAGGCATTCTAAAAAATGATGTAGTATCTTTGTAATGGGGTTTTATGTATCATATAACAAAGTTTATAGGTAAATGAACAACATTCTGAAAATTAAAGTTTGATTAGGTTCGCTAATTTAGAAAAATTAGCAAATTCGGTACCCCTGAAACAGAATAATACTCTTGAGACGGTGGGAGATACAAGCACTGCTGACAAAATATAATCGCACGGGACTGGAAGAGTTAGGAAAGAAAAAGCAGCAGTTCCCTGTTGCAGTTCAGGCACAGTTATGAGCATGACATTGATGAATCAGCCCATTTACAATTCTACTGTGCATAAGAACAAGTTAATGTCCCCCCCCTTTGGGAATGGCCTAAAGACACTTCAGTCAGTAGCACCACCCTGCGGGGTATATCAATGTCTTTTCAATGTATGTGTTTTTATTTGGCTATGGACACAATTTAGATCATTTAGGAGGTGGGCTTCTGACCCTGCCGGGACTGAGAGGAATACGACACCTCACCCCAGCAGGAAAACCAAGATATTCAAAAAAAATTCTCTCCACTCAGGAACCGAGCTCAAGTCTCCTACCTGCAGCCTAACCCCTACACTACAGACGCTGACACAATCAAATTCATTTCATAGTGACAACAAACTGGGTCAACTACTACCTGTATATTATAGTACTTGTAGGTGAAGGTCAGATCAATAACCATTCCAAGCTTAATTCCCTGCTCCTGTAGAGTCTGAATCAAAATCTCAGGAGACAGCCTGAAGTTGAATGTACAGAAAAAGAAGTCATCAGTTTCATTTTCTTAGTTTAAGTAGGAATTTTGCCGCACTTGCACCAGAATTAGGTCATGTGAGTACCAAAGACAAGAGGTGTTACTAGAGAGTGACATGACAATGGAAAAAAGGGGAAAGATATGTTTAGTTTTTGTAAGAGTTTTACAGCACTAGCACCACAAATAAGTCATATAATTAAGTGCAAAAGACAAGAGGAGTTACAAGAGAGAAACAGGATAATAAAAAGAAGAGGTAGAGATAGTTTTAGCTTTAGTAAGAGTTATACAGCACTTGTAAACTGACAATCAATAAAATAATTTTTGAATCATTGCAAAGAATTAATACTCTTTTTGAAAAAATTTTGAATCATTGCAAAACAATTAATATGTATTAGAATAATAATTAATCAAAATGACACTGAATCATTGCAACTGATTAATAACTGATATCATATAGCTGTAAAGTAACACATGAAAAAAAAGATGTACAATAGAGTCCACTGAAACCAAAGTTTGTGGGACTGCCAGATTTTCTCTGGTCAAGCCATGTTTTTAGTATAAAAAGATTGCTCAAATTAAATAGTGAAGAAAAGAATCGAGTTTGTATTTTCTTTTGGTCTGCAGCTTTGCTCAGTTTCAACAGACTCCACTGTCATTTCACTTTTCCTCCAAACACTGAACAGCTTTGCTATTGTACTCACTGATCTTCTTTTGACACATTTTGTAGGAGACTCTGAAAAATTAAGAGGAGACAGAGAGGGGGTTTGAGGGGATGGGGTGTCAGAGACAATAGTTTTAAAAAACCAACACATTCAACAGTATGACTGTTTATTCTTATTGAAAGTGTTTTAATAATCTTTTAATGATAATATTATATAATAAGAGTAATAATAATAATAATAATAATAATAATAATAATAATAATAATAATAATAATA